TTTTTAAAAACCATACATTGACAATTCCATGTTTTTTTTTTTTTTTTTTTTTAAATGTGCAATGGTAATATTATATTTGTTTGTTGGTTCCTACAGTAAAACCACGTCTTTTCATAATTCCATGGTTTTCTTTGTAGTAACTTTGAGAATCATGTATGCAGTGTTAGATAAATATGGCCATTATTCACTACTATGGTATAACCAGTTGATTCCATAACTACTACCACAGTACATCAATAAATCAATCAGTGATTTACAGAAAAGTCTTGATTTTAGGTACATTTCTGTAACTCTCTTTAAATAGAGACAGACAGACGCATTCACAATGAAAGTTTTATTATTCATTTAGCAATCACAAATAGGCTATGCAAAAACATGCCCCTGCTGGCAGAGCTGATATGAGATCATATTTGCAGGAATTATTAATTGTAGTACTTCAGACATTAATTTCATGACATCCTTCATTATACAAAACATTAAGCACCACAAAGAGTATCATGTCATAGAGACAATTAAACAACAAAAACATTCAGGGAAGAAAATTTGATCTAGAATGATATCGAATGTCCAGAAGCACCTTGATAAATACAAAAAAGTATATATAAATCTTCAGCAGTCTGTACAAACGTATAAGATCAGGCACATGGAAAATGTGCAGAGTAAAAGTGGCTGTACATTTACAAGTGGATCACATTTTGGGATCGTAATCAAACAGAAAATAGCTTCAGTGTATGTCGTCCAGCAGATTTGAGGAATCTGTATTAAGCTTATGACAAAAGAAGACATTCTTTTGATAGACTGGCACAAAAGCAGCATAAGGCGCATGAGCTGCGGCAGGCACTCTGTGTTATCTGTGCACTATATTTGGAAGCACAAATATGTTATCAGCATCAGCATTCGAGTTTTGAAAGGATGAACCCATGCAAACGTGCATGTGCATGTGAAAACATAGATGTATGTACATGATAAAGCCACATGCAGACTCTGGGTTATGAGCATTGTGGTCCAGCATGGTTGAAATAACTGCAGTAAAATGCACGGATGCTTTGGCCTGCATCACAGTCAAACATCTTTCAAATATTTGGCATTGCGAGCCGACGGCGAGGTTTGGACCGAACCAGAATCGCAAGTGACAGCGCTACGGATTTCAGCTCAAACTGTGATGACCTTTCTGTCAGATCACGCCGCAGTGCCGGGGAATTCGAAGCCGGGTTGCGGCGTGACGCGCAGCAGACAGCGCTTGTGTTTCATGGTCAGCCCGTACTCTGGCGTCATATCCAGCATTTCTCCCGGCATCCCGCTGAACTTTAACCTCTGGAGAAGGATGGCTAGGAACAGGAAGACCTCGGCACGTCCGATGGACTCTCCAATGCAGCGCCGCTTCCCAAGCCCGAAAACCAACACCTTCTCTCCTTCCATCTTATTCAGGTACGTACCGTCCGCGGTGAGGAATCGGTCGAGGTTGAAGCTCGACGGATCCTTCCACAGTTCTCTGCAAGAAGAAACAGACGGTTCCGCTTCGTTCAAGAGCGCATTGCACCATTTGCCAGCCACATTTAAGTAATTACAAGAAACTTACGGGTCATGGTTGACTTGCCACTGGTTTACAAACACACAGGTGTCTTTGGGAATGAAATATCCATTGAGCGACGTGTCTTTAGATGTACTGAAAGAGAAAAACACAAGCAGTCATTGGCTTGGCCAACTTTGGTAAACACAGTAACATTGTTTACAGGCGTCCATCTTCGGTAACTCAATTCACATGTGGTTTTATTTAATGCAATGACGCCGTTCTCAACTCACCAGTGAGGAATGGTGAAAGGAAGGAAGGACGAATGGCGGAAGATCTCCAGAATGAAGGCCTCGAGAAGCGGCAAGTCCGTTCTGTCTGACAAACGTGGCGTTCGGTCCATTCCGATCTTTTCCCCTAGAAAGATTTTAGACTGGATTTTAGATCTAGACTCTTAAAAACAAAGCTTCTTTATTGGCATCAGTGGTTCCATGAAGAACCTTTAACAACCATGCACTCTTAAAAATAAAGGTTACAAAAGACGGTTTTTGCAGCAATGCCATAGAAGAACCATTTTTGGCTCCCCAAAGAACCTTTCAGTGATCATTTCTTAAAAGAACCATTTTTTTTCTTACTGTGTGGAACATTTTAATAATCTGAAGAACCTTTATCCACTTTAAAGAAACTTTTTTTGCATCAGAAAGGTTCTATGGACAGGAAAAGTTCTTTATGGAACCATCAATGCCAATAAAGGAGACATATAAGGTCCTTTATAGTAAAAAAAAGTTTTTTTAAATTATTAAAATGTTCTACTTTTATGGACTGATCACTGAAAGGTTCTTTGGGGAACCAAAAAAGTTCTTCTACGGCATCACTGCAAAAATCCAGTTATGAATAATATTTTCTTAAGAGTTTCTTTGGCATCACTGCGAAAAACCGTCTTTTGGAACCTTAATTTTTAAGAGCGTATCTACACAGACAGACGTAGAGAGAGATACTCACTCAGCTCTCTTTGCAGTCGCTCCTGGATCTCAGGGTAGGCCACTAGATAGACGACAGCCCAAGACAGAGCCGTACTGATAGTGTCGAAACCTGTCAATGAGCACAGACACGCTTTAATATCATGCAGAGATTGGAGACAGAAAATCGTTGGGCTATCCCAGCACTCACCAGCTCCGAAGAGGTCATTGACGATTCCGACAATCTTCTCATCGGACACTTGGATGTTTGAGTTCTCGTCCAGTTTCCGGTCTTCGCAGTGGTTGATGAGCGAATCGGTGATGTCTCGGATGTTGTCCTGAAATAAATATCACATATGATGAGCTACACGGTGCACCAAATAGAAAGAGCACTGACGGACACATCTGAGATCGCCCCACCTTGTCGAAGGTGTTGTAATGGTCATTGACGATCTTCTTCATCAACTTGCTGAAGCGAGCGTTGATGGCCACGAACTTCTTCATCGTTGTGCTGGGCAGGATACGCAAGAAAGGGATGAAATCCGCAGGATTGCCGCTTCCCACGATCTTCCCGAACTCATCGCTCAGGTTGACCAAGCTCACCAGCTCGTCGTCGTCGTGGCTGTAGCGCCGGCCGAAGCAAATCCCGCAGATCACGTTGGCCACAGACACCACGATGTGCCGGAAGGGATCGAAGCTCCCGTCGGCCTTCATGACATTGTGAAGCCTTTCAATCAGATAGAGACCTTCCTTGCTGATGTGCTCCTCAAGGGCACATGAATACTCTGAGCTTTCGCCTTGCAACGTTGCAAAGGTTCGCAGGGCGCTGAGGGCCAGCTTGCGACGGGCGCGCCAGACACCCACCTGATCCGTACTAAAGGCCAGGCTCTTTCCGTCGCTGATGAACTTAGTGCTATAGAGATCCGGACGTCCGGCGAACTCCTCGCCTTGTTTGAGGAGGGCCTGACGGATCACGTCGTTTCCGCTGAGTACTACAACGGGACGCATGCCGATCTGGATCTGGAAGACGGGGCCGTAGCACTTACTCATAGCGGTCAGGCTGAGATGTGGGTTGTTTCCCACTTCCAGAACATTTCCGATAATGGGAAGAGGCTTCGGTCCCGGCAGCTTCTGGAGCCCTTCTGGGATCTTAGTACGCATGAGGCGCATCAGCAGATACACCACACATATCGTGATGATGGCCACGAGGCTCTCAGACACAGAAATCGGGCCCAACATGGGAAGAACCGTAAGAGGCATGGCTATCTCTCAACAATCTTTGCTCTTGCAGACAATGAACAGGTTACCTGTTTAAAACAAAGGAGCAATCAATAAGACTGACTGTTAACCTTAGAGAGCGAGAGAATAGTGCAGTAAAAAAATTTTTAGTGCATGCATGCAGCTAACTGATCTATTTTTGCAGTTTAATCAATGCACGCTGTGTGGTTATTTACATTTTGCGAAATTCATTAATGATAAACTACACGTGGAGCGATGTGTCTCAAGGGCAGAGCGCATATCTGAGACCCACGCGCACACACATACATGCAGCGCAACTTACATTTCTAGATCATACAGTGATATATTGAAAAAAGCTTTCTGAATAAACATCAGCATGTTACGTGTTAGTCAATTCTATGTATGTATGTATGTATGTGTGTGTGTGTGTGTGTATATACTCTATATATATATATATATATATATATATATATATATATATATATATATATATATATATATATATATACACACACATACATTTTCTTTTTTAAATATATATGTATATTATCTCAAAACTCATGCACATTAAGAACAAGAAAGAAGAAAAGAAGAAGTAAAGTGAGTTTTTTCTTCTTTTTTTTGTGTAAACATGTTCAATTGGCATCTGCAAATATAATCAAATATCCTCTAAAAGCAAGAAGCATTGACATTAGTCTTACCCCGAGCGATCCGATGAATCTTTCACCTCTTCTCAGCTGAATTTGTCTATCCACAGTCAATTAGCTCCAGAGAAGTGCTGCAGTATTCCAGCGGGGAAATCTTTTATAGAGAAGAGCTCGTGGCGATTGGTTGCTCTTCTCGTGACGTCACGGAGCGCCGGAGGCTTTGATAATGGAAGAGAATCAGAGATAAGAGTGAGATTAAGGGTGATCGATTATTAAGTGTGATTACACTTAACATTAACGGAGAAAACGAAAAACTGCGAGAATAATTATTGAGACTGGGTTCTCTTCCGTTTCCAAACACACACCTATCTCAATGATTGATTATATATAATAACATCTTTAAAAAAAAAACATGAATGATGAACAATGGATCAACCCTTACAGAGCCTTTATTACTATAAATTTATTAAACTAGATGCATTATTTATTAATATAGATAGATTCAATAACAATAATAGATTTATGCATTAAAAGTAATAAATAAATAAATGTTAAACTTTAAAAGACCCTTGAAATATATGAATATAAATGAGTTTTGGCAGTACTTTTGACGTGATGTGATAATGATAATATTTTACAACATATTTTAGAAAATACTAATCAATGCACAGACTGAGAAATAAATGCGCAATGCAAATTATAGATCAAGAAATAGAAAAAATATATACAGCACAACAACAGGCTTAATGCAAATATGTAAATAAGTATAAAGAAAGAAAGAAAGACATGTTGATTAACAGTACTGTCTTAACAGACAGAAGTCAGCGCCATAAATCTGTTTGACAATTTTAGCAATTATAGACTAATTAAACTGTTTGTTGCAACACATCTGATAATTGCCTGCATATTCGCCGAAGAGTAAATCGACGAAAGAAAGAGTTTTGCGTTGATTTGTAGGGTCATGTTCGCCTGGCACGCGCTCGTAACTCATTAAGCAACAGGTAGAGCATCGCGTGCAAAGATGTGTGTGTGTGTGTGTGTGTGTGTGTGTGTGTGTGTGTTACACAGCCCTGCTGCAGATTCCTGCACACGTTTTTCATACATCTCATTCACCGTGTCAACAGGAAAAGCCGCCAGAATGGAGTAAAATCGTGTGACCTTGAAATGCAGTGCATGTTAAAACGCTGTAAAGACCCGCTTCACGAGTTACATTCAACCAGCTGAACTGATTTGTTTGTTCTGCGGTAGCTTTCTCTTGAAAGAATCTCGGTCACCTCCATAGGCTGTGGTCACCTCAGACTGTTATCACGCTTTGAAACACGCTACGATGAACTCATCAAACAGCATCGCGTGCGTGCACCTGTGGCGCGCGGGTTAAAGATTGGCCACGTTGCGTGAGAGCGCGCGAGGATGCTGGAGGGGGGAGAGGGCAAACGAGGTCACTTTACCATCGTCTAACACTCTCTGCCAGTTTCAAAGCGATAAAGCACTTTTTGACGGATTCATTTAATGCACGCGCTGGATTTCGGGTTGCATCCCGACTTTCTGAAGCATCTCGCTGAATGAGAATGAGATGCTCTGGTCGCACCGATCAATCATAAATATTTGCTTTTTAACTCTTCATATGATGCATACCATCGTATTGGGAGGTCTGACGGTCTTCAGTTGATCAAAGATGAGGAACAGATCCCGGGTCAGCGCGAGCGGCTTCTTAAGAACCCTAATTATACATGCCGATTGCGCGTGTAATTAAGGATCTCTGAAGGTGCTTTGAAGTTCTCTGGTGAGGTGTTTCTGAAAACAAAAAGTAAAGAAAGACAGCATGCAAAACCTAAAAGAGTTGCACAAAAATACAACCGAGTTTTATACCTTACACATTTTTTTTGCATGATGTAGCCTATTATATTATATTATATTATATTATTATGGCAATTTTATTTATATAGCACCATTAATTACAACCCAGGTTGTCCAATGTACTATATATATATATTATGCTATATTAGGCTACATTATATTATATTATGTTATGTTATATTATATTATATTGTGCAAAAACAAATGCAATGTGCTTGAAACATGAACTGGAAACAACTAGGCCTATTTCTTGTTTTTCTTGACAGGTAAAAACTGTTATAAAAAAATAATAAGAATAATTTTAATTCCAAATGATACCCTTTCAAAAGGTACTAATATGTACCATTTAGATACTAATACAGAAACTTTCGGTACTAATATGTACTTTTATATGCACCTTTTAGGGGTTAAATAATGTACAAAGGTGTAACTTTTGAAAAGTGACAGCTTTTGTAGCTTTATTCTGACAGTGTGACAACTACACTACTAGTAAAGTAACAAGAGTTTATACAGATTATACTGCACACTGTTTTATTGGCATTGATGGTGTAACGTTTAACATCCACTGAAGCTTTCCATTACATAAAATATTCTTTATAGTAGAAAAACGTTCGTTTGATTATTATATGATTAGAATGTTCTTCACACACTTTACTTAAGGGCTCTTTGGGGAAACATAAATGGTTTTTCTATGCAATTGCTGCAAAAACCCATTTGGAACCTTTATTTTTAAGATATATATGGAAAAACAAATGCAATGTGCTCTAAACATGAACTGACAAGAATGAATGCATACTACTGTTTGAAATGTTTACACTGCATACCGTTGTATTGGCATTGATGCTTTCATAAAGAGCCTTTAACGCGCTTTGCATTGCATAAAAAGGTTCTTATAGCGGAAAAGCTTCTTTAGCATATCCACATATTCTTCACATGCATTCTCGGCCCGTGTCTCGTGTGTTCGCGTGAGAGCGCTGCTAGGACAATCCTAAATCTGCTCGGTTAGTCACGCGAAGGCGGCAGCGGCTCTCTTTCTTCAGCACGAAGGCGCGGACTTTTGCGCTGTGAATGAACAGGATCTTTGGTCCTTTGAAATCATGCGATCGGTCAGTTCGACACCACGCAAACTCAGCCCGCTTAATCCCGCTTCAGAGCCGTGACTCGCCTCTCTGACTGTAATCCGGTTCCTCGCGTGTGAACTGGGAGTTGCGACGCTTCTATGTGTGACACACATTCCGCATGAATCACGGCAACCGGCGCGACCGAGGCCAGTCTGGACAATGAAATCACACTCAAAATGCGTGAATGTCACCAAATCTAAGCAAGTGTGATTTATTGTAAAGAAATATAACAACTGATCTAGTGTTAGTGGAACACCTGCGCTTCCTCTGTCAGGACACCTGTGTCAACTATAGGACAACTAACCTTCATTTAATCACTAATAATCACCAGAACACCAGCTGAATCACATGCATTGAACATTAGTGAAAAAAGATCACAAATTATACTTGTTTTTTATTTATTTATATAGCTAATGCATTGGCAATCAGACATTTTAAGTCTAATCTATCTATCATGAGAAGCATTTATATCAAAGGATTCTGTAGGCTGAAAACTGATTTCTGTATTGAAATGTTTTAATGTTTTGGTAACCCTTTATTTAAAGCCTTTATGTATAATGCATTATAAATGTGTTATAATGCATTATATCCATTCATTAATAATTCTAATCAATGCATTATAATATTTGAAGGTTTGTTTGTCATGTTTTAATGCATTATACTTTCTATAACAATGAATATTATAATATATTATAAATGTGGTTACAATTATTCATGAGATCATACAATGCAATATTAGGTGCATTACAACACATAATTAATGCATTAAAATACTTATATGCATTAAAGACTTTAAGTAAAGTGGCACCAGTGTGATTTGTAAGTGGACTTGAACGCTTTATACATTTTGATAATTTATGTATAGAGTGAAATTAGGGTGCAAATAGTGAAGAACGTCTCAGGTTACTTATGTAACCATGGTTCCCTGAGTAGGGAACGAGACACTGCATGCTCTAGGGGTGCTATGGGGAACGCCTCGTCGTGACCCGTGTCTGAAGCATACATTGAAAAAACACCAACAACACGTTGGCCGGCGACAGCCCATGACGTCACTACCGGTGCGACTATAGTATAAATAGGCGCCGGGAGCACACATCAT